TCCAAACTTGACACAGGTTTCCCTATCTGTGTTTTCAGCAGACACATCCAGGCATGCCCTTGGCGCAGAATGCCCAGCCCTTGGGGCACCACCTCACTCAGTGAAATCGCCTGCCATTAGTTCAAATTGTCACACACGCTACAGCCCCGATTGTGACGCCACATCCCCTTCCCCCATTTTTCCGTTAGCACGGAATAGCTATTGTGTGAACAATGGGGTGTGCGATGATGAGAGAGAGACTCGGATATCGGCTGTGAGAGACATTTGGTCCAGAAACTGTGAGGGCTTAAGTGAGCAACAAAAAGAGTGCTTGTGGGAAGTCATGGAGGACTTCATCGACATTTTTGCTCTCAATGAGAAGGAAGTGGGCCTAACCCACTTGATGCACCATGTTATTGACACTGCAGATGCCCGCCCGATAAGAGTAAGGCCACGTCGTCTCCCCCTGGCCCGACAGGAAGCGGCGGATAAGGAGTTGGAAGAAATGCTGCAGGCGGGTATAGTTGAGCCCTCAGAGAGCCCATGGGCTTCAGCAGTCGTCATGGTACCACGGACAAACAGTTCCAGATGGCGGTTCTGCATAGACTATAGGCAGCTCAACAAAGTCACGAAAAAGGATTCATACCCCCTTCCTAGAGTGGATGAGTGTCTCGACTTGGTAGCTGGTTCATCGTGGTTCTCCACCCTTGACTTGAGGAGCGGCTACTGGCAAGTGCCATTATCCCCTGAGTCTGCTCCCAAAACCGCGTTCCGCTCAAATGGAGGCCTCTGGCAGTTCAAGGTCCTTCCGTTCGGACTCTGCAACGCTCCTGCCACGTTCGAACGGCTCATGGACAAAGTATTAGCAGGAGTGCCTCGCCATGAATGTCTTGTATACCTGGATGATCTCTTAGTCCATGGTGATTCGTTTGAGGTAGCACTCGATTCCCTCCGACGGGTGCTGGGAAGAGTGGCAGCAGCAGGCCTGAAACTGCATCCAGATAAATGCCACTTTATGAGGCGGGAGGTTGAGTTCCTTGGACACAAGTTGGGGAGGGAGGGCATAGGCACCCTGGAGGACAAAATACACACCATTAGAGACTGGCCAATCCCTACAGACCTGAGACAACTGAAGAGTTTCCTGGGGCTCGCCTCTTACTATAGGAGGTTTGTAAGGGGATTTTCATGCATAGGGGCGCCGCTCTTCCGCCTCCAACAGAAAGACCATGTTTTCGTCTGGACTGACGAGTGCCAGAAGGCATTCGATACCCTACGGCAAGCATTGATTGAAGCTCCAGTCCTTGTTCCACCTGACACCTCGCTGCCTTTTGTTTTAGACACGGACGCAAGCAACGTCGGCATGGGGGCAGTGTTATCACAGAACAGACCAGATGGGGAGAAGGTGGTGGCATACTTTAGCAGGGTCTTTAACAAGTGTGAGAAACGCTATTGCGTAACCAGACGCGAGCTCCTTGCAGTGGTAATGGCAGTGAGACACTTCAAATACTACCTGTGTGGCACGCCATTCACGATAAGGACAGACCATGCTGCTCTTCAATGGTTGATGTCCTTCAAAGAGCCTGAAGGTCAAGTGGCCCGATGGCTGGAAGAACTCCAGTCATACGACTTCTCAGTAGTTCATAGACCCGGGTCTAACCACGCCAACGCTGATGCCTTGTCTCGTCGCCCCTGTGCCGCCGAGGGCTGCCGCCACTGTGAGAAGAGAGAGACGCAGGAGAGGGAACTGTGTCTGGGGAACGAGCCAGCGCAGCCTGCATGTGGAGCATTAAGGGTGTTTGATACACCAGAGTGGAAGTTGGAGCAGGAGAAAGATGAGGATCTGAGGCCTGTTCTACGTTGGTTGGAGGCACAGCAGAGACCCGATTGGGGGAATATTACGGGCTGCTCGCTGGGCACAAAAGGACTGTGGTCCAAATTTAACACACTGAGGCTGAGTGAGGGGGTGCTCCAGCGAGCATGGAAGGAGCCTGCCACTGGGGAGGACAGATGGCAAGTAATAGTGCCCAAAGCACTGAGGGAAGCAGTGTTAACCGCTTGTCATGGGAGTACGGGGTCTGGCCATTTCGGGGTGTCCAAAACGCTCCGCCGCCTTCGCCAGGGGTTCTACTGGGGCCAGCATAGAAGGGACGTGGAGGATTTCTGCCGCAGATGTGATGCCTGTGCAGCTTATAAGGGCCCTCTCGATCAATCTCATGCCAGACTTCAACAGCAGGCTGTAGGAGCACCAATGGAAAGAGTAGCTGTGGACATCATGGGTCCCTTCCCTGTCACTGTAAGAGGTAACCGGTTCGTCCTCACTGCTATGGACTACTTCACAAAATGGCCTGAGGCCTATGCAATACCGAACCAGGAAGCAGAGACGGTGTCTGATGCACTGGTGGAGGGGATGTTCAGCAGGTTCGGTGTGGCAGAGGTCATTCATAGTGATCAGGGGAGAAATTTTGAATCCAAGCTGTTTGCAGCCCTGTGTGAACGGCTTGGCATGGAAAAAACTCGCACAACTCCCCTGCACCCCCAAAGCGATGGCCTGGTTGAAAGATTTAATAGGACCTTGGGTCAACAGCTAGCTATCCTTACAGCTGACCATCAGCGGGATTGGGACACTCACCTCCCTTTCATTCTCATGGCCTACAGATCTGCAGTACAGGACTCCACACTGTGTACCCCTGCTTTGCTTATGTTGGGGCGTGAGCTTCGGACCCCCACAGAGTTGTTGTTCGGGAAGCCCCCGGACATGCCGGCTATACCTGCCGGACCAGAGTATGCAAGGAGGTTGCAGGATCGAATGGAGACAGCCCATGTGTTTGCCAGGGATCAATTGGAAAAGGCTGGCATGAGGCAGAAAAGGAACTATGATGTTAGGAGCAAGGGAAGAGACTTCCAGGCTGATGAGTCAGTTTGGGTGTACAGCCCGAGGAGGAAAAGAGGACGCTCCCCGAAGCTTGACTGCCACTGGGTGGGCCCCTGCTTGGTTCTAGAGAAGGTGGGAGAGGTAGTGTATAGGGTGCAGATGCCGCCTAGAGGCAGGAAGGTAGCCTTGCATAGAGACAGGCTGGCCCCGTACAGAGGTAACTTGGCCGTCTCTTTTGAAAAGAGAAAGACCACCCCCCCTGCCTCTCAAAACAACATTGACCCCAGGCCCGGGCCCCACACCCCAGTGGCTCCTGAATCCCCTGCCCTAAACAGCCCACATGCAGCCACTTTCCGGGGACTTTCAGCTGATCCCCATGCCCCAACCCCTCATTCCCTTGCAAGCTCAGACATTCAACCTGCTATGCGGCCAAGGAGGCAGAGACGTCGGCCTGGGCACCTTAAAGACTTTGTTTGCCCCCTCGTGGACGAGGGTTCTTCTTATTAAAGGGGGGGCAGTGTAATGTCAGTATAAATAGAAGACACTAGTTAGTATTATGTTGTTCGACAGTGTTAGACTCATAAGTGGTTCTATCTGTTAGTCCCTGGTTCTTTAAGGGGCGGGGTTTAGCGGGGTCGAGTGACTAGAGCGAGTGAGAGCTGGAAGCGGGGAGTCAGACAGAGTTTAACAGCAGAGCAGAGACAGCACGTTATATCTCTCCTTTCATGTTGTACGGCGTGGGTTACGGCCATAACAGTAATCCTGCAGTTCTTGAATAAAGCCTTAGAAGGAGGAAGAATCCGTCTGTTTACTTCTTAGTAGCGAAACGCTACAATATAATGCCATGAACGTTCATCGGATCTGATGCTGATTGGCTCGAGGCTGCAGGATGCAGACCAATCAGAGCAGACCTGGGTTTCGCCTAGCAACAGCTGGCAAGATGGTAAGACCATAGATAGGTATACAGGTAAAAAAGGAATATATATATATATATATATATATATATATATATATATATATATATATATATATATATATATATATATATATATATGTAAGACTGCATATCCACAACGAGTAGGAGGAATCAGCATTATTCTGTATGTGAACGTATCAATAGTGAAAATATCATGAAATTCATGCGATCATGTTAAAATCCTGGTTTACAGTTACATACTTGCCGTGACAAAGAGACATAATCCAGCTATAAAACATGGAATGGTTCATCAGAAGCTTGGCTATAACGTTCTGGCAAGTTTCTCTGAACGAACATTCTTCTTGTAAAGGTACTAGAACGTTCGTTCAGTTATTTGGCAACACTTTATTATACAGTGTCCTTGATACTACATGTAGGCTACTTACCATAGTAATAACAGTAAATTATGCATAATTACATACAACTAACCCTCGACCAAACCCTAACCCTACCCTAACCCTATAAATACATGTACCGGTAGTTGTTTTAATATATAATTACACTGTAACAGTGTAGCCAGTTATTTGGTATTTAATAATGCTCTTAAAACATTCTATACATCATCCATGGAACTTGAGTTGGACGGTTATTAAATGTTGCTTGTTTCAGAACGTTCAGGAAAACATTCAAAAGCAACGTTCCAATAATGTTTGAAGAATTATCAAATGGAACGTTCCCCAACATTGGCATAACAACAACAACAAAATCTTTAAGATGATTTGAACGTTTTCATAACTTAATGAGAATGTTAGCGAAATGTTTTTTGAACGTATCTTGTCAGGTGAGTCTGTTCTGCGTATATTACAATCACTGCAAAAGAACGAAACCACGATGTTGGCCACTAGAGGGACTCATACAGACATGTGTGAGTTTATTACACTTATTTGAGTTGCATCCTACAGTTCTGTGAAATCAGAGTTTATGTGGTAGTATATTTCAATAAAGCTTTTCAAGATTATGATGCATGTACAAAAAAGTAAATAAAAAAAGACCAACTCGTTCTGATTTGTTCTGGTCAGATTATCATGTATGTGTTAATGTATGTTTTTAACAGAGGGCAGAACTTCTCAGGAAGTGGTGACTGGCTTAAAGAAAAGTATCTTGAATACTTCTCTTTTTCTCTCAGCTGTCCATCCGAGCGAGTGAACGGAGAGGAAGAAGAGACAGGGAGCGATGGCTGTGCTACAGACTTCAGGTGTGATGTGTGTGTGTGTTTTTCTGCTCTGCGCTGGACTTCACTTCGTAACAGGTACGTCTAAACAACAATATCAGTTCATTTAGGCATTTATGGCACAAACTGATTTTCATAAGTCAATAAAACATCCTCCTATGACAGTGGTTTCTGTTTGTGCAGTACTTCTGCTCTTATCTTTGTAAAAAAAAAAAAAAAAAGAATACTTCATTAATGACCTACACATTAACAAATGAGTAACACACTATTAACATTCTAGTAACTACTAACTAACAATGAACTCTGATGAACAAATTAGTCGCTTAGTCGAATATGGTAGTTCACTATTAGCTCATAACTACTATTTTTCATACAGTACCTCACTGAAGACTACTAAAAACTACAGGTTCATAATTAATATTAATTATGCATAATGTATAATATAAGGTAACGGTAACCCATTAGTAATGACTCAAGTGTTACTACATCTTTCTAAAGGAACTACTAATTATTTGGATCCGTATCTAAAGTGAAGATCATGGGAACACACTAGTAATGACTAAAGTGTTACCAAATCCATCGGAAGGAATTACAACTATTCAAAATCTTACAAAAATCTCTAAAGCTTACAATGACTTCAGTCAATATTAGGGAGTTATCATGTTTTTCACTTTAGATACTGATCCAAATTATTAGTAGTTCCTTTAGAAGGATGTAGTAACCATAGATATCCATAATAAAGGCTAGATGTCTCGTCCGCGCTGCTGGCCAATGGAGGTCGACGTCCGCACCTGGCGGCCATCTTGCCACAGGCAGCTCGCTCTCTCGTAACATTGTGTTTTAATGGTGCATGTGCTTTTTAAATGCTCAATTTTCTACCGATTTTCAAACGGTTTGGTTTGTTATAAACGTCAGAGATGTAGTTATGACACTGCATACTTATGAATAATAAGTGTATCAATAAATAATCATTATAGCCACGTTAATAATGTTTGTAAGAAACCAAACCGTTTCTAAATCCGTCAAGATTTCAACGAGATGAGAGTATTTGTGTTGGTGCTGATCACTCATCTTACATCAGGCACCACAGAGCCCTCCAGAAAGCTTGCCTGTGACAAGATGGCCGCCGGTGATGACGATAGAGACTCCGCCAGAGTTTATTGTTAGAATGTTAATAGTGCGTTGCTCATTTGTTCCTAGTTATTCCTTAATGAAGGAACAGCATTCTAAAGTGTTACCAAAAAATGTAATTCAAAATAACAGTTTAATTCTGTGTTTGTGTTGGTTTTGACTGCAAAGGAGGGGTGCGAGACATCAGCGGTTCTCCAGGAGAGTCTGTGCTGCTTCCCTGCAGTGATGGACACTCACAGCATAAAGATATCCAGTGGAGACACTCAGATATCGGGGAAACACAGAACTCAGCGGACGTCATGACGGATCAGCGATATAAAGGCCGGGTTCAGATTCACGGGAACCTCTCGCTGTCCATCACTCAACTCACTCTAGACGACTCAAGATCATATTGGTGTAAATCAACAGAGAGAGTAAATCTAATAATTGAAGGTAATGAATGCTTGTTTCATTTTTTTAATAATAATACATGCAGACCAACCATAAACCACTGTTACCTCTGAAGTCATTCACACTCACACTAGTTTCCATTTCTTTTATGAACTGAAAGTTGATGACTATTAGTCTTGTCAGAAAGATATTGTATACAATAGTTGAACGCACTTGCATGTTGTAGTTACGAATGGGAAACCCTGAACCCTGAGTGTCGAGTGCAATGAATATACAATATATAACAAGTGAGCTTGGTGTGATCTCAATAAATTACGATTAATTTTACTCATGAGTGGGATTCACTTAGGTTAAGTTCAGAAAAATCTATTCAACCATGTGAGACTGTTTGTAATACAGTAATTTTATTAAGTTTGACCAACAGACTTTGAGTCAGCATATCATGATAATCAAATTTTATTCTCCTTTGTGTTGGCAGGTTGTTCTATATCCGGGAATGAAACATCAGTGGCGATCAGCAGATATCCAGGAGAATCCGTGTTTCTGTCCTGTTCGGTCAAATGCAGCGCTCGTGGTGAACTAGAGTTCAGATGGAAATTACCAAACAGAGAACTAAACCAGACGACTAACTCTAATGAACTGAATCGACTCTATCAGGGCAGAATTCACATGTTTAATATACCTTCAGGAAATTTCTCTCTGCTGATTTCTAAGCTGACGGAGAAAGATGAAGGACTGTATTTATGCTGGATTAATGAGAATCAACACAAGAGCTTCAGTCTCACTGTTAAAGGTAAAGAAACGATGAATATGCGTGAAACAAGGTGCTTTGGAACTTTGCAGTTCGTTTTACTAGAACATTTTTGAGTTCTAAAATTTCATTGTACTATGAATTTTAATCATTCCTCATAATTTGACCCAATTAAAGTTCACAATCCCAGCTAACAGGGAACGTTTTGTCAAGGTTCTCTCAAGGTTATGAACAAGCATCTTCCAGTAAAGTTAATAGAACGTTTATTCAGAGTTATCTGGTCTTAAATAATGTTTTCGAAACATGACAACAATATTATTTATACATCGAAAAAAAATTGTTGGACTTCTGTCTAACATTTTTTTCACTAATTGTTGCAGAATTTTCAGAGAACATTCAAAAGTAACGTTCCCATTATGTTTGTAAAATGATGAAAATGGAATGTTCAATGTTCTTCCAGTAATGTTAAATAGAACATTCGTTCAAAGTTCAAAGTCTTGAATAATGTTCTCAAAACATTAGCACAAAATATTATTTGTACATCGTTAATGGAACGTATTTTTCCAAAACATTTTATTTGGAAGTTCGTCTAACATTTAAAAAAATGTTACTACATGTTTCAGAACATTTGGAAGTAATGTTCCCATAATGTTTGCAGAATGATAAAATGGAATGTTCCTTTTTCGTTCGCATAACCAAGAAAAAACATTCAGAAAACTGCAGAAACAACGTTTTAATAACTTAATGGGATAGTTAGCAAAACTTCCTTTTTGTTAGATGGCTACTGGGTCAGTTTGCACTATAGCGCTTACTTTTCAATCCAGTGTAAACCATTGTAAGTCCGACTAATTCGATCCAAGGGCGGCATTCAAATTAGCGGTGAAGGTCACATGCGCGTTCCGTCTCTTCCAATGGCAAAGGGATTTATAATTAAATGCAATACATTATCTTATGTATTAACTCGTTTCATCTGACTCCATAAAATGAAAGTGTTTTTCAATGATATCTGTGCATCTTTAAATATACGTTAATGTTTGACTATTCCTTTTAACTCCAATGAAAACAAAGTCAAAGTCTGTTAGAATAATCAAATATAACAATTTATTATGTCAGGTAAATTATAACAATTCCATAATCAATTGAAAGATAATCAATGCAAATCATCAAATGTTTTAGGATTAGAGAAATAGATGCAAACCCAACATTCAAGAACTACATGAGCTAACCTCATGGGCTATCTGAAATACAGAAAAAGCCACGACTCCTTGCTGCCTTCCATTAAATAGCCAGAACTTCTTTTCAATGGTAATTTGCATTCAGGTTACACCTTATTTTGGGGGTAGGGGAGGAAGGCCATTTGTCCACCTTTCTTTGTGTGCCAGTTTCTCTAAACTTCTAAAAAACCTTATTACCTTTTGTTTTATACTTTGGGAATGAGACATTTGTACCACTCATTCTTGAGACATTTCAAATGATACCAAACATAATACTCAATGATAATCATTCACATCAAACCATAGATATTCTTATGTGAGTTTTTATGTGTCACTGCGAGAGTGGGGGATGTGGGGAAGAAGTGTGTGTGTGTGTGTGAGAGTTCAAATGTTAATTTGCCAAGGTCCTTTGTCTCATAGACCAGTGGTCTATCTCTTCACCCAGTTTCCAGTTTTCCAGTCTTACAGTCCCTCCTTGACCCCGTGGGTCACATTCAGACACTTAAGGGGTCACAGTAAGACGTTTGTCGTGATTGAGATGTAACTCAACAATTGTCTTTGCAATGTCAGCATCTGTAGAAGCTCAGAGGGCTGTGTTCCCCTGCAGAACTCCTGTTCTCACCAGGTGTATGTAGCATGAGTCCAGCAGGTGGATGAGGCGTTCAGGCTTTCTTCCGGTGATCCTGTGATGTGAGCAAAGTTCATATAGTCAATCTGGACCTTTTGACTTGTTCAGTTGACGTGTCATTCCTTCATGGAGAAACTTCCGTTTCCCTGGCACCTTCCCCATGATGATAATCTGTCCCTTCTTGACCAATCCTGTCACCTCCAGCGGTGCGGCTGTCTGGACAGACCTCAGTGGATGAAGGTGTTCTCCTTGGCTTCACACTGCTTTGTGTGAGACACCTGAAAAGCATCTTAAATGTCCGCTTCTCGATTGAACACATATGAACTTGAACTTGCGAAGAAATCCATAGAAACGCATAATGCAACAAAACAGAATCATGTCATGTTCAATGTAAAATACCATGTTCTTGTCAGCAGGTGTGAATGGTACTTCTGTCTCATATGTTTCTCAAGGTCCTGAATGGTAAGGATGTCTCATATTAAATATCCAATTCTTAAATATATATATTTTTTGGTCTGAATTATTCAAAGGAAATGCAGCAAGAGGTCAGTGCAACTCAAATAATCAGATAAATGGTATGCATCAATACGTCTTGTAATAACAATAATATTCAAAAATAAAAAAATATGAAGAATCACTGTTTGTTCAGGAATCTTCCAATGTAAGCCACTTATGCAAATCTAAGAAGTGACTTGGAACATGAATGGAGATTGTTCATTCCTTGCAGCAGGTGTGAGATTGTGTTTGTGTGAGGGTGTGTGTGTGTGTGTGTGTGTGTGTGTGCGTCTGTGTGTGAGTGTGAGAGTTTGTGTGAGAGAAAGAGAGAGAGAGAGAGAGTGTGTGTGTGTGTGTGTGTGTGTGTGTGTTGTTGTTGGCTAAGTCACAGTCAATGACAGGGTTGAATTGTAAATTCTGTAATTGTTTGAAGCGCTCACACTTCAGATCTATTAGTTATGGTGTTTCTGTTATTAGTGGTTGTTGAGAAATCAGGGGCCCTCTGACCTTCCAACCACCCTAATAACAATCAGAAAGTTTAAACATTCTTAAATTTAATAGCAGGTCTGCCTCTGCTTTAATTTTGTTTTTGCATCATTGATTTGTGACTGTAGCCATTCATATGTATATTACAGTGTTTTCCCATGAGTTGGCAGAGTGTTGTGAATAGCGTATGCTATGTGTGCCTCGGTCATCATGGGATCAGCTTTACCATCCTATGTGTGTGAAGCTATCTGGATCTGTTAGTGTGAAGATGCACAATAGATCTTTAGTGAAGTGACACTTTTGGACTCTATGTCATCTTTATCTTCTCATGATGTGTAGTGTTCAGTCTGAATAGACTTGATCTATTCCAGGTCATGATGCTGTGAGGGTGTAGTGATGGAGGAGTGTGTTCAGTGTTCATAGGAGATGGGTGGAATCTACTCTATAACAATTGTGTTGCAAATTTTAGTTCCAGTTCTAAACTGGGAGGCCATGCTAATGTAGTGATGTGCTATTGTGAGATGTAAATGGCCTTTGAAGTGTCTTTTCACCCATCTCCCGAGTCTCAGGTTATGTTCTAACAATCGTGAGGTCCGGCCGTCCTGGCATCCGTCCCCTGAGGAATTGCAGAAGTAAACCTGACAGAAATAAATGCAGAGAGAGCCACCGTTAATTCTGATGTTTTCAACAGTTTCAAATTCAGACATGTGGAATTCTTTTGCTCGCTCCATTATCATGTCCATTGCAATTTTAATTCCAGCTGTCACATGAAACCGAGTTTTCATTGACCAGGTCTGAATTATTGCTGTTGTTTCAGTGCAGTGTGCGACACCTAAAAGCTGCTCTTGCAGTCGAGCCTTCACAGTCTGCTGTGTCACAGCATTAGAGCTTTCATAACAGCCAGATCTGTGGGCATGAATTAGTTCATGGTGTCGTTCACACATTTGGTTAGTGCAGGTCTCTAGTTACCTTTAAAAGGCTGTGGTCTGTCTGATGTTTAGTTCACACCCTCCTTCTAAATTTGCTTCCTTGATCAGTTGGCTATTACCTGTGCCACACTTCTGGGAGTGTTTTTTAAAGGCAAAAATTAATAAAACACACCTCCGCCCTTTTGGCACTGGATAGCAGGTCAACGAAATCGAACTGTAAGGATTAATGTCACACTTCTCCAATTAATGCCTGTTTGGCGATTACAATATAATGTATATTATAATTTGAGTCATAATACAATTACATTATATTTAAGAATATAAATTAAATTATATTATTTCTGGTCTTCTGAAGAGTCTCTGCTCGTTCGCATGTCGATACATTTGAATATGAAAAGGCTTTCTGGCTCAAGGCTCATAAGGTGTACATTCGCTGTTTCTCCTTTCTGTTTGCTAGGTTTCAAATACCTTTTCTTCTCATTTAGTCTTTTTAAATGGCCATTTTAACGTTTGATTATTCTTTTGAACTCTTAATTTTAGTTTTATTTGTTTAGATCAGGGAATCTATATCGCTCAGCGTTCCTTCTCCCAAGGCCGCACGGCACACTCCCGTCAGTTCCAATAACCAATTCAGAGGTAATTTGACTAAATATCTGGGATCTGCCGTATTCACACGTGCAATCAGAGATATCTTTACAAGTCCCCTTGAATGCCTCCTCTAGAAATTAAATCAATGTGTCACTTTAGTAGGGACGATTGACCACCAAGAAAGAGGACAGTTTATCAACTTAACTTCCCTTAAAATGGCTTCAGGCCAAGCCCGTGGTCTTTAAACCACGCACGTTTATCCCAAGCGATCACTGACCTAAAACAGTGGATATGGACACACCCGAACCTAGGTTGATTAACCAGCGTTTGCTGATTCTAGTCGGAAATAGCTTGTCCCCTCATTCAAGTACACTTAAAATGGTATCGGATATTAGCCGTCGCTAATCTGACGCGAAAGATGTGGAAATATACGAATCCAATAATCTATGGAAAAAAACAGTCTTTCAGAGTCATTCAGAATTAATTCAAACGTAACCATTTACAAATTTGGTATGCGAAACAGCTCCCATAGAGTGGAGAGGTAAAGTCTACGTTCTCTAAAGCTTTGAATATGAAAAGGTTTTTTGTTTCAGGATTAATGAGATGCGCGTTCACAGTTTCTGATTCTCATCTATGTTCCTTTGCGTGGTTTTACCGCAGCTATGGGAGTTTTCCACCAAGGATACAAAGATTCAGACTATATGAAGGCAAAGTCATTTAACGTTTGATAATTCTTTTCATTCTTTACTTATTTATTTTTTTTTATTTTTTTTTCGTTTTTAGATTAGGAAACTATATCGCTGTGCAGTCCTTCTCTAAAGTCCGCACGACACACTCTCGCCAGGTCCGGTCATCAAATCAGAGGTCATTTGAAAATGATACCGGATGTTAGCCATCGCTAAACTGACGCAAAAGATGTGGCGCGTTCGTGGTTTCTGACTTTCAAATTCATTGTGAATCACATTATAACCACATTCAGCATAGACACACACTTGTTTAATTCAGTTCACACAGGATGCATGGCCTAGAATACAACATCAACAGCCTTTACGTAAGTGTTCCAAATACACAAACAGTAAAGCAATCCTGTGTTTAAAGAATAAACTTACAATTAGCCTATGTGCACATATAGCACAAACAACTATAAGGTGTGTTCTATGAGTGCATTACATTGTTTAAAGCACAACTCCAAATTTGAAAATACAAATTATTGCTTTTTAATCCCATCTGTGTTAAAGTGGAAGCTTTCAAATGCAATATAGAGTTTGTCAAGATTAGTTTAGGTTTAGTATCATTCAATGTGGCTTTTGTGCCCATCGGTGGGCCGGTCACACAAAGGGTTAGCAGCTAAGCTTTTTTGTATCCAGCATGGCTTTAGCATTTAGCATTAGCTTCTTTTAAGCAGCATGGGCAATACCTTACTAGCATTTAGCTTAGTCTCCTTTTGGAAGCAGCATGGACAATAACATTGAGCTTAGCCTTGAGATCCGATTTTAGCCTGTAAATCATATCATCCTGTTTTTCCAAATTTAGCTTTTTATAAACAATGCATCAATCTGCCTTTTTATTTATAAAATCACGTGTTCTCCGATTTCTCCGTTCACAAACTTAGATTTTTCTTTCTGTTGTTTGCCGATTCTCTTCAGGTGTTGCTAGTTCGTTTCAACAAAGCCAATACCACAATGGCGACAAACATGCGGCTGATTTGAAAACTTTTAGGCTGTTTTACAGCTCCTCATCAAGTAACGTTACACGAAAAACATTTGGAAGATGTTATTCCGATTTTAGGTTTCGTTTTTTTGTTGCTTAGGCAAACAAGGATATCTTTAATCTATTAACAAGGGTTTTCATTCTTCATCTGCGCTGCCGCTTATCACGTCCTCACGTATTTCAGTTCCGGACTAAACAAAGGGCTTTTCGACCCGTAACAATGCAAACAACATTTTCTCAACACTTCTCAAAAGGGAAGAAAAAATGACTTACCACAGCGGCAGAAGAAAGTGAAGATGTTCAAACCTCATGCTGATTTTAAAATCCCCATATTTAGCTGGAAAGGACGTTGCTCGCGAAATCCTGTTGCGACATCACGTCGCGGGGGTCACCAATTTGTAAGTCCGACTAATTTGATCCAAGGGCGGCATTCAAATTAGCGGTGAAGGTCACATGCGCGTTCCGTCTCTTCCAATGGCAAAGGGATTTTAATTAAATGCAATACATTATCTTATGTATTAACTCGTTTCATCTGACTCCATAAAATGAAAGTGTTTTTCAATGATATCTGTGCATCTTTAAATATACGTTAATGTTTGACTATTCCTTTTAACTCCAATGAAAATAAAGTCAAAGTCTGTTAGAATAATCAAATATAACAATTTATTATGTCAGGTAAATGTATTATAACAATTCCATAATCAATTGAAAGATAATCAATGCAAATCATCAAATGTTTTAGGAATAGAGAAATAGATGCAAACCCAACATTTAAGAACTACATGAGCTACCTCATGGG